AAGGGCGACTAGGATAGATGCCCAAGGAAGAGAAAAGTTGTAGTGCCCTCTGTTTGTGTATACTCAATGGCTGAGCTAGACATTGTTCCATAAGTTTGAGTGGCCTAGCTTTACGCCTTATGTAAGTTGGGTATAAGGGACAAATCATTGAAAGACTATGAACTATTGTTTGACAAGGTTGACTTTGGGGTGGTGAGAGTACTTACCTTTATGGCTTGGCCTTGCATGTGCCTGAGTAAGACTACTACTTAATATGAGTTTCAGTTTGATAGGTTGTTGCTTTAGAAGATCGCCACGTGCTAGAGCTTTAGGAGTTGGTTCAATTCCTGCATTTTCTGAGCTAAGTTTTTTTACTAAGATCAATTTCCGCATTTTCTGGGACCATTTCTTATACTTGGCTTTGTATAAATCTTGGTAAGCTACTTTTCCTACGTGAAGCGCTGCCGAAATTTCTACAAAACCAACGAGTTAGTCATATTTTGACTTTTCAAAGTTCAGCTTGTCTAAATTTTATGTATGGCTTAGTAAAAATCTGAAAAGTCTCCTTTTCTAAAGGGAGTGCTGCCCAATTTTTTGCTAAATCAAAGAGTTAGACATGATTGAACTTTGGGAAGTCAAAGTTATTTCTAAGACTTAAACCTAACTTGGTATAAATTTTGAAAAATTACTTTCTCTACGGGAAGCGCTGCCGAAATTTCTACAAAACTAAGGGGTCAGTTAAATTTTGTCTTCGATGAACTCAAGTTTGACTTTGAGATCTTATCTGACTTCGTATAAATCAGGGAAGTCTACTTTTCTAAAGGGAGTGCTGCCCAAATTTTTACTAGACAAAATTTGACTTTTCATAATTAGACACCATTTTTTATATTCGAGCTAATATAAATTCTGAAAAGGCACTTTTCCTACGGGAAGCGCTGCCGAAATTTCTTTAGTTAGTGGAGTTAGGTTATATTTTGACAGGTGGCGATTCTGGTCATCCACCCTGAATAGGTGAGGTTCTAACAAAGGTCTACCTTTTCTTTAGACACTGGCTCGGGGGTAGACTTATACTTTGTTGGCAGATAGTTTTGAGTAAGAATGTTTTGTGGAGACTTATTCCCCATACAGTGGGTACTGACCTATCTTATGGAACAGGTCTTTTTGATCGTTCTGGTTCAAGACTCGGACTAGTTTCAACTTGATCTGCAAGGATCATCTTCTGTTATCACTGATAACAGGTCAGTTGTCGATTCGTCAGTCTACGACTCAACTCCAATCCGTCCTTAATACTCAACCTAAAAGGCTTTAGCCCTGGTGGTTTCTATTGTTTTGTTAAGCTTTTCACCCAGACTTTTGTCGAATGGCCATTTAACGAAGGTGCTGAGTATTTATTTTTGGAAGGTTGAACAAAGGTTGGGGATTGCATGCTAAAGCAAGGGGTATGAGTATAGAGAGTGGTTGAATTTGACCCCGTGTAGTGTGTGGACTTTTGTTGACTCTTTGATGTGATTGCAAGTATGTTTTGTAGTTTAGACTTTGGATTTGACTGTCTGCGATCACATACATATATATGACGGAGAGGAATCCCAATGTGATTGTGAGAAGTGATCGTCACATATTTATTCCCATATATATATTATATATTTCCCCATGGTTGGGGTATTTCGTTTTGCGGACCTACTGTATGGTTTCGTTTTTTTACTATGTATATGGCAGATTTTGTTCTGGTTATCGTTTTGGTATTCCGGATGTCCTGTTGTTCGGTCTATTGGCGTGACAGCGTAGCCGTGCTTTTATGTGGGACTAATCATCCGGGTTCTGGTTTGTTATGGATATGATAGATTTTTTTGGTTTTCATACTGTGGATCGGAGTTTTTTTGGTAACCTTGTCTCCATCCTGGTTGGCTCTGTCTCGTTGTTCGGTCTATTTTGGGAGAATGGTAGCGGTGCTTCATGTGGGATCGGTCATCCGGGTTCTTTTTTTTTTATCGTCTTGGGGCATTATGGTTGGCTGTTTCCCGTTGTTCGGCCTACACGAGGGGCGGTGCTTTTACGAGGGAATCGTCATCTGGGATTGTCTTTCTTTTTTTGCAGATAAGGTGTTCTTTGCTTCAGATTCTTTGCTATGGATATGGTAGAATTTGTTCTCTGGTATTCATTTCTGTTGAAAATGGCCTGGCTCATCGTTCAATCATCTCACAGTTCCCGTGTCTTGAATCCTGGCTGGTTTGTCCCGTCGTTTGGCCTGTGCTATCGGGGGCGGTGTCTGCATGTGAGACTTGTCATCTAGGATTCGTTTGCCCCCTGTTCTGTAATGTTTGGCTGTTCCCTTCCTTTTTTCTTTGCCTCTTCGCCTTTTGGTTGTGTGCAAGTGGGTCGATATGACACACGGGGGTGGGGGCAGCCGCCGCTCAACCTACATCCACGTGGGCGGCCTTGTAAGCAAGAGGTTTTGAACAGGGGGAGTCTTGTAAGGAAGAAGATAAAAAATGAATTTATTTCTTCTTTTTTTCGCATTTGTGACGATATATATATATATATATATATATATATATATATATATATATATATATATAT